CCAGGTATGTACCTAACAGACAGTGTACACCAAGACTCCTCATCAAAAGACTGGAACAATAATCTTCAAGCAGCACTAGTCATAACAACCAAAAATCTGAAACTCCTTAAATACCCATCAATAGAAGAATCATCATGTAATGGAATGCTACAGGACACTGCTACTCATCTACAAGTACCTCCAGAAATATGGAAGAATCTTACAAGGTACAATGACCCAAAAGGATATATGATTCTTGTACATAAAATTCAAATATGGGCAAATTAATCTATGGTATGAGAAGTTAAGACAGTGCTTTTCTTGGTGGGGAGGATAGAGAATGGGAAGGAAGGGGCATCTGAGGTGCTGGTAATGCTGTTTTGTTTGTTTGTTTTAACTATTCTCCACACCCAGCATGGAACCCAACATGGGACTTGAACTCATGACCCTGACATTAAGACCTAGGCTGAGATCGAGAGTCAGATGCTTAACTGACTGAGCCAAATAGGCTCCCCAGTAATGCTGTTTCTTGATCTAGGTATAGCTACATGGGTATTTCAAATCTCTGGCAATCACTGAGCTGTACACTTATCATTTGGGCACTTTCCTCCATATATGTTATTCTTTAATAACAGTGGTTCTCTGAATACAGACAGTTCAGCCTCAGAACTAAAGCCTCAACTGATTTAAGCAGGGAAAGTCCTCCTCTCCCTCCTCCTCCATTATCCTCCAAATGCTGTGCAGAGCTATAGTTTCCAGCCCTAGAAACTCAGTAAGCAATGCCTTCCTTAGCCACGGCAGGGAGGTGAGGGCACCCTGCACTGGGTAACCTAGGAACAGAGTGCCATGTGAGGAGGTGGGGAGATGAGAGGTTTGGGACCTGCTCCCCAGGCACAAGCTAATGGTGATGTGCAACAGGCTTCAGCAACTAACCCCTAGTCCACTGCTGAGCCAGGAAGGCAGCCAGCTGGGCTCAAAGCCCTAGCCCCAGTTTCCAAATATTCACTACTGAAGCAGATTTATTGGGCACCGAGGAATCCCCCTGGATTTAAAATCCTGGCCTTGGGGTAACTGAGAGGCTCAGTCAGTAGAGCATATGACTCCTGATCTCAAAGGGTTGAGTTTGAGCCCCATGCTGGGTATAGAAATTACTTTAAAAAACAGCTGAAAATTAAAATAAAATAAAAGAAAATCCTGGCCTCGGTTCTGACGGCCCCAGCGACCCTACGTCAAGTTGCTTATCCCCGTTCACAGCAAAGGAGAGTTACCACCACCTGCTTCGCGAGATGATTATAACCATAAAAACTATTAGACTATCAGCTCCCCAAGGGCAGGAACTTGGTTTTGTCCATTGCTTTAGCTGCAGTTCTAGAACACTGCCTGACACATGCAGCTGCTAAATATATGTTTACTGAAAGAATAAAATATAGAGGGCATGGCCCAAAATGGAGGCCCCAAAACAAAAGACAATTTTTACACAAGTTGAAATAGGCAAATTCATGTCTAAGTTAATTCATGTGCAGTCAAATTCATTACTGAAACTTTGAAGTTACCTACGAAAGCTAATGTGGGTTAGCTTTAATCTTACTGAAACGCTGACTAAGGGTGAGTTGAACCTGCTGAGGGCCCATAATGAAGTAATAGATTTTTTACTGTAATTAAGCTGCCTCTCTCAACTGTCCACCATTAAGGATGTATGACCACGTTGGGTCAATCACTTTTAATCACTGTCCTAATACCATGCAAATTCCCTCCTCCCACCTCTTCTTTGTCTTTGCTTCCAGACCACACTTGAAGGCAGCCCCACAGACTGTGCAGTTGTGGTGGTTGGGGGGGGGAACATTCCAGCTCTGCCTCCGTCGATTAACCTCTTGCCCTCGGTGGAGGCAAGCCCAGCATCACTTGACCCAAGCCCCATCACTAGGACACCGAGAGACTGTATCTAAGCCAGTTTCCCTACAGGAATGTTTCTGGAAAACCTTAGGATAAGAATGAATAAATGACAAATTGCTCTTTGGACAGGGGTTGCTGTTGGTGTCTGTGGGATCTGGCGCTCCAACACTCCACTTCCTTTCCTCCACCTCCCACTTTCTGGTAGTAAAAAAGGTCACAGAACTTAGGAATCGCAAACTTCTACTCAAGTCCCAGCCGGTTCTAGTAGTAATGCCGCCGGTGAAGCCACAACCACTCAGGCTTCATGGGTAAAACAGGCAGACCTTCCCAAGATTGTCAGGATTCATGCGAATACCTTCTGGGTATCCTGTGAAGTACCGGGTCCAGAACTAAACCCAAAGGGAAAAGTCATGTTTGTGACCCTCAAGGTAGCTCCTGAGGGTCAGGAGCTACAAAATATATAGAATCATCAGCCTACAAAATTGAATCCATTAAGCTGCTTCTCTGTCTCTAGCTTTGAAACCTCCAGCAGAGCTGGGTTACAGGCTTTCTGAAGTACCAACTCTGAGATTAAGAGCTCAAGCTGTTTAATAGTTACCTTACCAGCTTCAAGAGAGTGTCAGGAGGACAAAGCAAGCTTAGAGTTGTGGAAGTGCTTTGAAGAGCAAAGTGCACATGCAAACAAGGTATTAATTATATCAGATAATTTCTTTGAGCTCAACTTCATAGACACCTGTGATATTCATAACCCAGGGGCGAACAAGAGGGGCAATTGTTCTTTCGCACTGAGAAAACTTGGCTGCTTGGCCAAACTCGAGAGAGTTTGTATGTACCCTCAGGATAACCCTTTCAACATGGCTGGATCCATCCTTTGCACCGAGGACACAGAGCTGGGATGGAGGTGGGGAGGTAGAAAGATGTCAGCAGGGGCGCCTGGGTGGCTCAGTGGGTTAAAGCCTCTGCCTTCGGCTCAGGTCATGATCCCAGGGTCCTGGGATTGAGCCCCACATCGGGCTCTCTGCTCAGCGGTGAGCCTGCTCCTCCCCCCTTCTCTGCCTGCCTCTCTGCCTACTTGTGATCTCTGTCTGTCAAATAAATAAAATCTTAAAAAAAAAAAAAAAAGAAAGAAAGATGTCAGCAGCTGAGAAATTTCTAAGAAGAGAAATATCAGTATTTTTTGCTAGGGTGTGTCAGTTTATTGGAACCCACTGGACTCAGAAACCTGCTTTTACTTAAGAAAGAAGGCAGCAGCCTACTTCACAGGAAAACTACTGTAAGAACCAGTCATGTTGCAGGGAGGCTCAAGGTTAGCTAAGCACATTAACCCACTCTTTGTTTTATAACCCAGGTGTGCTCCTGGCATGAACCCACCATTTTCACAACCATAAAGCAGACATCCAAGAAAGCAGAATTTTCTCAAAAGGTTTAAAATGCCTGACATCACCAGGAAACACTTGCCAACCGGACGGTGAAATTGAAAACCTGATCACTGCTTCCCCCCAACAACCCGAAGCTTAGCGAAGTGACAGTTAATCTAATATTTCTTGCTTCAGTAAGAAAGATATGGCACAATCAACACTCAAAAGCCATGAGACTGAAGTCGGGAGAACTTGATAATGCGGGGGAGGAGTACAGATTTGGCAGAGGTCTGGTTAGCAATAAAGCTTCCTCAGGGAGCCGGAATTGGAGTTGGGGCCCTGCCCAAGTTAACATTTTTACAGGTTGGCTGAGTCGCAGTTTGTTAGCCAGTCAGTAATAAACCCATGTGCAAGAATTTAAAGTTTATGAGGCATGGCCTCTTAATGCCTTTGCTTAGCTCCCTACAGCCCAGAGTTTAAGGAGCCTGGCCTAGCCAGGGTGTTAATTGTTTTGTCAATCTGCAAGATTGTTTGGGAAAAGGGAAAAAAAAGTCTCCCACAGACTCCAGACCCCAGTCCTCTAGTGAAGGAACAAAGGAGAGCCATTCAGTCCCCTAGGCATTAGTACTTCTACATTCAAACTGGTAATTTGTACCTGGGGTGAGGGGTATGCTGATGAAGGCATTAGAAATAGGCTAGGTGGCAAAGGTTCTTAATTGTGTTGAAAGCCACCTAAACTGTAGATCCCCTTCCCAGAAAAATGCACACACAAGTTCTTAAACAATTTTCACAGGTTAGGGATCCGCTGGAACCCCGACCCAAAGATCCTGGGTTACACCTCTGTTTAAGAATTTGGGTTTGATGGGTGTAGAAACCCCCACTGTCCCGTCTTGGATGGAGGGAAAAGAGGCCCCCATCAGCCCGCAGCTGCTCAGGTCTCATAACGCACTGGTTCTCCGCACCAAAATGACTCCCCGCTCTCAAGATTTTCAAATTTGGTGGGGGGACTAGTATATTAAGTGATCAAAAATGTTCTTTGATCTCCCATCCACCGCACCCTCGGCTCAAGATCTTCCGGCTTGGGACCCCCTCCCTACTCCCCCAACATTCCAGTCCAAGTTGGGGGTGGGGGGCAGGGGGTGTCCCACTGCGTGATGGCCCCAGCCCAGGTGTGCCAGACCCAGTTTCCACGCAGGCTGCAGGGGTGCAGGCCCTCCGGGAAGGGCAGGGTTAAGAGTGCATTCCAGCTGCCAGGGAAGAAGGGGGGGCGGGGGAAGGGAGCGCGAAGAAGAGAAACAGACCCGGTCTGTCTGTCGGAGACACAAAGCACGGTACACAAAGGGGGCCCGAGAGGGGCGAAGGGGGCTGCCCGGGGCACGGCTCATCCCCACACCTGCGCGGGGGTTGGGGGAGGAATGTGGACGACGCATTCCTTTGCGGGGGCCAGTGGGGGAGAGCTTCCCACGTCCGGGCTGGGTGAGGAACTCAGCCGCCCCGCACCCCGAAGGAGGTCTAGGTAAACCGCCGCAGCGGGGCAAGGAGGAGTTGCAGGTCAGACGGCGCTGTGCTCTCCATCCTTCTCTGTCCGCCATCCACCCCCACACTAACCCCCGAGATGCTTTCCGCTCCTTCTCCAAACCGGAGGCGGAGGCAGCGGCGCCAGAAATTCCCCCGCCCCAGCCTGGGCACCCCTCGCGCGGACCACTGGAGCAGCCCACGTGCGACCCTCGGCCCCGCGTTTCCATCGGGATACCTCCAGGAAGGTCTTACCTTTGCTCTGCGCCTGGCCCAGATCCACCTTCGCGCCTCCAGCCACCCGCGTCACTTCAGCTTCCCCGAAGCCCGCCCCGCACGGCTCGGAGGCCACGCAAAGCAGCCAGCAAACCTGAGCCTGAGGGAAGAGCGGAAAAGGGAACGGCTGGGTCACAGGCGTGCCCGGTTCTGCATACCCGGCCCGATATTCCTCACGGGGCTCTGCTCCGCCACACTGGCCGCAAGTAGCCGAGCAACTCTCTCTCCTCGACGCCGCCGACGCCTGCGGACCCGCCCAGCTGGACCGCTCCCGCCGGGGTAAGGCAGTGGTGTACCTTAAAGAGGAGGACGAGGAGAAGGGATGCGAGAAGCCCACTAGGGAGCTCCATAGCTGGAGAACGAAGGACGAAGAAGCGGCAGCCTCCGCGGGACAGTGCTTCGCTAAGCTTTCCCCGTGCCTTTGAGCGCCTCTGCCCGCGGGCGCTAGCGGGGTGGAGGTGGGGGCCAGGTGAGAGCAGGTGGGTGCTGATTGGTCCGGCGCCGCAGGTCCCGCCCCCTCGCAGGTGGGGCCCCCGCAGGCGTGGTGGAGACACCCACGATACACGCCTGTATTCGTGTTAATGCAGCAATTCTGAAATGCCCACGGGCGTTTCCGGAACTGCTACCCGCAAGGACCTAGGCTGTGTCTCACAGATTCTGGGTTCGAGGTAAAAAACAGAACAAAAACCACCCCGCTCCTCAGTCTCCGCAGCACTCGAAGAAAAATGTTTTTGTGCCTTGCAGCTACAGTGAGAAAAAAGTGGAGACGCTTCTGAACCCGACTGGAAACAGAGGCGCCCCATTCATACTCCCCCAAGGCACTGTTATCCAAAGCTTTGATGGAGGCCGGGTGTGGACGCCCCACAGCCGGCTACAGCGGGGGCTGCCCCCTGCCTCTCCACCTCCCATGCCGGGCCGCTGAGGACACAGGAGTAAGGCTTAAAGCTGGCAGTGAGGTGCAGAGAGGCCGTGTTACTGACTTTGCGGCAACTTGAGGAAGACTCATTACTTCCATTGCACAGCCCAACAACTGGAGGCTAGGAAAGAAGGCCCCAGAGTTCAGAGGCTGTTGTGGCGCCGAAGGGGGCAAGTGGACCGCGGTTATTAGCGTCATCATCTCCAGGGATTCCCCCCCCCCCATTAAATACAAATGACACTTTCTCAACTTTATATAAAATGTAAATACTTTTAAAAAGTTTTTTTTTTTTTAACGCGGCTGTTATTGGTCTGAAATACTGAATATAAGTGAAAACTGCGTGCTAATCAAGCGGCCTTCCGGGAGCCTCTCACATAAACAGTTCTCCTACCGAACCCCACCCCCACGCCTTCTTGAAAGAAAGGTGGAGGAGCTAGGATTCGTCCCTCTACTTTTTTTTTTTTTTTAAGATTTTTATTTATTTATTTGAGAGAGAAAGAGATCATGAGTGGGAGGGCAGAAGCAGGGGGAGCAGCAGAGAGAGAGGGAGAAGCAGGCTCCCCATTGAGCAGGAAGCCCTATGCGGGACTCGATTCTAGAACCCTGGGATCACCACCGAAGCGGCAGGCAGCCACTGAACTGACTGAGCCACCCAGGCACCCCAACATTTTTCAAAAACTTTTTTAAAGATTTTATTTATTTGACAGAGAGCAAAAGTAGGGGGGAAGCTGTAGAGGGAGAGAGAGATGCAGGGTCCCTGCTCAGCAGGGGAAGCCTGGTGTGGGACTCCACTCCAGGACGATGGGATCATGACCTGAACTGAAAGCAGATGCTTAACAACTGAGGCACCACGCACCCCTTGTCCCTCTACTTTAGACCTGAAATGCTTTCCCCTTCAGGACACACAAGTGGGCTCAGGACATACAAGTGGGCTCCGGACACAGAAACCCTCCTGGGGGCGCCTGGGTGGCTCAGTAGTTAAGCGTCTGTCTTTGGCTCAGGCCACGATCCCAGGGTCCTGGGATCCAGCCCCATATCAGGCTCCCTCTCCCACTCCTCTTGCTTGCGTTCCCTCTCTGGCTGTTTCTCTCTGTCAAACAAATAAAATCTTAAAAAAAAAAAAAAGTTAAAAAAAAAAAGAAACCCTCCTGAGACTCAATCCCTCTACCCTGCACACCCTCTCCCCACCAAGCCGAGCTTTCCAAAGATCCTGTTCCCTGAGGCCTCTCCCTGGAGCCTCTCCCTACTTTGTCTAGCTGCCCTGAGAACCCAGGCTGACACCTCCTTGTCCTCTCCTTCCTCCTCCCCAGCTCAGATTCAGGGCTTTGAGGAGCCTGGAGTCTGTAATTATAGATTCTTTGGCCCTTTAGGGACAACCTGGTGGCTTGCCTATCTTTCCAGCCATTAGGCCTGTGGCTAAGAGGAAAACGGTTTGCGCTGGGACAGTGGTAGTCCTCTCTCCAGCTGAACACTGGCCGTACCGCCTGCGTTCAAACTGGTGTTCCACCATTATTAGTACTGAGGCCTCAGGCAAGTGAAATAACCTCTTTGAGGATCAGTTCTGCATGCATTAAGACATCTGTCCTCTAAAGTGCTAGGATTAAATGAATTAATACATATAAATGAGGATTAAATTAATTAATACATTTAAAACGCTAAACTCTGTACCTGGCACAGAATAAGTGCCAGACATTGCCTGGTATTGCTTTAAGATCTTGGCTTAATAGTCCTCTGCCTCGTGAGTGGTTTCTGTCCTCCTTAGCACCCTCGCATTCCCCAAACTAAGAAATTTCACCGCTGATGTTTTGTATTGGCATCTGGTATTAAGGGAGAGCTCGGTTAACTGGCTTATGGTCCCAGCGGCTGGGAGTTGGCCAGGGACGATGCACTGGAAAAGCCAGAGGCAGCTCGCTGAGCTCTGCACCTCGCTAGCCTCCATCTACAGCAGGGGTCTCTTTCCTTGCGGGTGGGGAGGTTAGCTATTCGTGCAGGGGCGCATCGTGGCAGAGAAGGCCCCAGATGGTACCCAGTGGCTCCGCCTAGCCTCGCCTCGCAGGTTCCGCTGAGCCCGCGCGGAACTAGATGAAGCTATTAAGTGGACCGTTAAACACAGACGAGCCTCGAGATTCAAGCCCTAATTAAGTAAACACCCGGCTGGAGGGCCGTTGAACTAGCTCATTTCCGCCTCCTTCTAGGGCATTCAGCGTTCTGGGCGAGGGGCGAGGAGAGGAGAAGAGAAATTGAGAGCTCTTCTGCCTTCAACTTGGACCACGCTGCTGTCTTCTTCGTGGCTCCCCCTTGTCGCTCACTCGCTCCTTCGTTCGTTCGTTCGTTCATTCATTCATTCATTCAGTAAATACTCGCTGGTAGCCTGCTATGTGCCAAGCACTGGAGATACAATGGTGAACAAAGCAAGCAACCCGCCCCCCCCCCCACCCCCTTACCCCCTTAGACCATCCATGCCAGACTGTGTTTGCGCAAGCGCGGGGGTGGGGGGCCGGGTTGAGGAAAATAACCAAGTAAGTAAATGTTAGATAATACGTGCTGTGTGCATGAACAAAGATGAAATGGGAAGTGCAAATTCGTGAGACAGAAAGTGGGGGCGCCTGGTTGGCTCAGTTGGTGGGATCTTGTGACTTTTTTTTTTTTTAAGATTTTATTTATTCATTTGAGAGAGCACAAGCAGGGGGAGTGGCAGATGGAGAAGCAGACACCCTACTGAGCAGGGAGCCCAACACGGGGCTCTATCCCAGGACTCTGAGATCATGACCAGAGCTGAAGGCAGATGCTTAACCATCTGAACCACCCAGGTGTCCTGAGCCTGCAACTCTTGATTTCAGGGTCGTGAGTTGAAGGCCTGCAATAGGCAAAGAGACAACTTAAAAAGACAAAAATAAAAAAAACACATGAGATGGAAGGTAGGGTTGGAAATTGTACATAACGTGATCCAGAAGGTGTTTCCAAAAGAATCCAGGAAGAGACAGAATCCAAGCCAGAGGGTTCAAGTCTTACTGGGGGGCCTAGAGGAATGGGCAGGGTTCAGAGAATCAAAAGGGATATTGAGGCTCTGGGGACCAACAACAACAGAGAGGCCTTAGAACTTTGAGGACTGAAGGGCAAGGGGAGGAAATGATGTCACTGAAAGTTGGGAGTTGGGGAGAGCTGGAGAGTAGAGGAAGGACTACCGCTCCCAAATGTAGCTGCTATCTGGCCAGGGCAAGCAGGTAGGATGTAGGAAAACTCCAACATCTTTCTCCTTTTGCCATTCATCTCCCAGCAGCACTTCCTATGGGCCTAACCCACCCAGAAGCCTGTGGGCAGGAAAGCCCAGGTGGTATGGTCTCTAGGGGTCATTTCTCCAGTCACAGGGCAGGATGGAGAAAACAGAAAATGGATGAGGGGTGGGCGAGCAATGGGGAAAGCCAAGAGGCTTCACTGAGAAATGGACATTTGAACAATACATTTGAACATTTGAACAATACAAGGAAGTGAAGAAACAAGTTACAGTAAGGATATCTGAAGAAAAAGTATTCCAGGCGGACAAACCCAAGCAAAGGCCCTGAGGCAGTGGATTACTTGGGACAGAAAAAAATTTAAAAAAGTAAAAGCTAGCATGTCTGGAGTAGAGTGACAAGTAGGAAATGAGTCAGAGTTGGGAGGGAGGGGAACAAATCTTACAGAGCATCATAGGCCATTGTAAAAACCTACTGAGTGGGAGGGGAGGAAGACCCTGGAGGCTGTAAGCAGAGGCGTGGCCTTGAGACCACAGAGAATGAGGGTAGAAGTCGGGAGGTCAACGGGGATCCTACTGCAATCATCCACACAGAAGCGGAAACAGCTTGGTTTAGGGTAGACATTGTAGAAGGGATAAGAAATTATCAGATTAAAAAGCACCCAGAAAATAACAAGTGTTGGCGAGGATGTTAAAAAATTGGAACGCTTGTGCACTGTGGGTGGAAATGGAAAATGGTGCAGCCACCATGGAAAACAGCATGGCGGTTACTAAAAAAATTAAAAATAGAATTTCCAGATGATATAGCAATTCCACTTCTGGTTACATACTCAAAAGAATTGAGAGCAGGGACGCACAGAGATATTTGAACATCCATGCTCATAGCAACATTATTTGCAATAGCCAAGAGGCAGGAGCAATCCAAGTGTCCATCCACAGATGAATGAATTAA